TTCGCAGTGCTTTGAATTGCTTCACACTACTTCGCACTGATCTGTATTAGTTTGCAACGCATTGCTTTTCATTGCGTTGCATTGCGTTGCGTGGCGGTGCATGGCGTTGCATTGCTATGCATTGGCCTGCATTGCTTTGCATTGCTTGCTTCGCAATGCTTCTCATTGTTTTCCATTGCTTTGAACTTCCTTACGTCGCTTTGTGCTGATTTGCATTGCTTTGAATTCGTTTGCATTGCTTTGCACTGCATTTCTTCGCATTTCGATGCATTGCTTTGCGTTGCTTCACATCAATTGCACCACATAGCGTGCAACACCTAGATTGCACCACATTGACTGTACCACCTCGATTGCAAAATGTTGCCGATTTGCTTCTTCGATTTTCGGGGGCGTCTGGGAGCGGGCCTCGCAAATCATGGCACGAAGCACGTGTGCGGTCAAAGGGGGGCCAGGGACGCATTAATATCAAACATGGGGGCCATGAAATCCGAGGAGTCTTCATGGTCCCGGCCATGATGCCCCCCCCCAGTCATCAACCCCATCCTGGCCGCCTCTGAGGGAAAATGAAGAGAAGAGGAGGGTGAATGAGCGAACCGGTGGGGGGAGGGATCCCCGCGCGCACTGTGCGTGAAGCGGGCGCTTTAGAGAAAGTAGCAAAATAACAGGCATGGGCATGGTGTCTCTCTGCGCGGAGTGTTTGGAAGGCGCGGGACCCCTCTCAGTTCACATGTATGTCTACAGTCGGGGCACTGAGGAAGGAACGCTTTTCGTTGGGGAGGGGCTCGGTGTTCCTTAGTTGTTTTGCAGTTCGCCTTTGGTTTTGCTTAGGGTTTCGATGGGAAGTCGAAGTTAAACTTATGGGAAAAAGAGGCCTCGTTCCTTATTGAGGGTTCCTTAGGTCAACGCCCCTTCTGTATTTGGTGAGTGGGGGAGTGGAGGTGAGGATGAAGAGAAGAAGAGACAGGGTAAGCTGCCGATGCCGAGGTAGCCCGCGCGCACCGTGCGCGACGCGGGCGCGCTAGAGCTCCTCGCTGTGCTTGCTCTTGGCCACCTGGCGGAAGGCGCGCGCTGTTTCCCAGGCGGGACGGCGGCGACGGCGACGACGACGAGGACTTCGAGGGCGACTTCGAGGACTTCGAGGACTTCGACGACGACGAGGACTTCGACGCGCGCTTTTTCCCAGGCGGGACGGCGGCGGCGACGCTAACGGCGACGACGACGACGAGGACTGCGAGGGCAGGGACGTCGAGGGCGTCGAGGACGGGGCCGGCGGGGCCGAGGCCGACGCCGAGGCCGCCTGCTTGAAGACGTTGATGCGCTGCTTGACCCACTGCTTCGCCTCTCGGGGAGGCGTCGCCCCTCCACCCTGCGCCGGTGGACGCAAGTCTCATGATCTTCCTTTCGGCGATACAGTCGGGCTGCTGAAATGAGGAACGCTAACGAAGGAACGAGGCCCCTTCTGCGGCTGCAAAAAAGCCTGGGTGCACGAGAAGGGCCAGACGAAGAACCACGGAAGGACGTAAGGAATATCGAGCCCCTTCCGAATCCAAACTGTTCCTTATTTCAGCGTCTTGGCTGTAACAGGGATAATTTGAGGCCTCCTAGATGGGGTCCGAGCAGATGGGCTCGGAGGATCTCGCCGAATCGGCGATACATCGGCGATGCGTCGCCGATGCATCGCCGATGCATCGGCCATGCACTGGCGACGTCGGCGATGCATCCGCGACGTCGGCGTAAAGAAAAGTTGGGCCCCACATCGAGCCGCATCACGAATGCACCGCCGATGCATCGGCGATGCGGCCAAATCCTACGACCCCATTTGCCCCGACCCCATCCAGGAGGCCTAAATGACAACCTGACCGTTTCGCATTTGGCGCTTCTGCTGTCGGGGATCTTCTGACCCGGGTCAATCCAAACCCGGGTCAGCAGGAAACCGAAAAACTGCAGTGCAGGACAAAAACACTGCAACGCAGGTCTTCGCAAACCCGGGTCAGCCAATATGCGCGGCCGCCTCGCGGCCACGAGCGGCTCGCTAACCCGGGTCAGCCAAATGGGGTCTTCGCAAGATCCTGCAGGATCCGGTGCCCTGGCTGACCCCCGTTTGCATTGACCCCCGTCTCTGGAGCCCCGATGCTGCGGCAACCAGCAAAGTCCGGTCATCCAGGGTTGCCCGGATCATCGCCGGACCCTCGACAAGAACAATCTCGTGCCCTGGCCCAGCCAGCCCTGGACACGTCGGGAACCAGCATGGAGGGCTACAGCGATCATGCTGCGGTCACGGCGCTGGAGAAAAAAAGGAAACATTAGATACGAATTCGAGGGTCTGGAAGCCGGTGGAACTCCAATGGTGGACTGGCCGTGGATATCACTGCCACCCCCATGAGACGAGGAACCCTCCAGGGTCTGAAAACTCCTGGGCACATTCCTTAACGAACGCCCCCACCGTACCGCACACCGCTCTGGAAAAGTCATGCAATATGAGTCGTCGATGTGCTTGTTTTTCGTAAAGTTTGGCCATTGGGGACTGCTTTCTGGGCCCCAGGCCGCCGGAGACGGACGTCGGATGCAAGGCTACCCCGAAGTGAAGTCCTTCTGACTATGCTTCGGCACGACCCGCAAAACTTGAATTGCTCTTCAAAGGGGGGGGGAGGGGGCAACACAGGCATTGGCCTGGAGCGCAGCGCATGGCTGCGCCAGGAGGGCGCATCGACCGACTCTGGACCCAGGCCTGGCCCGCACCGGCATGCAGCAGGCACACTCGACAATATTGTGGGTGCTATGACAACGGACACTTGAACCGATCCATCCTTGGATTCGCATTGTCTTTCAGATGTCTTCTGCATGCCTTCAACATGCTCGGAACATGTTTAAAACATGTGCTGTAGCACTTGAGAAGCATATGCAAGGCATATGTTTTAGACATCTGGAGATCATTTGGCAATTTGCCGCCTCTCCATTGACCGTCCTCCGCAACGGTACGAGATCCTGCTGCGAGGAATCTTGGGGCACACCCTTCGTCGATACTTCAAGGGCCCACCCCCAAGAGCTTCTGCGGGTCCCTGGGGCTCCCAGGGAGCAGGACGTTTCCCAGGGGCACCTGCTAGCAGGCCGATTGCTCATGTGATGCGCCTACTGTATGTAGGTGACTAAGTTGACGTCCCCCGATCGCGTCTGGCTTCATGTCGCCACCCACCATCTTGGAGAGGCGCGCGTGCTGCTTCTTGATGTCGTCCAGGGGCTTCTCGGCCCACTTGGAGATGAAGTCCTTCTGCTTGTCGGTGCAGCCTTTGCTCGTGTCCTCGATGCTGCAGAGGGACGCGTACTCCTCCACCAGCTCCTCAGAGGAGCAACAAAGGCATGAACAGAAACTTTTGACGGTCCGCGCGGATCTCTGGGATCTGAGCTGGACCCCCCTCCCTGGCGCGCGGGGCGCGCCAGGGGCGGCGCGGGAGGCGCCGCCAGAGGGGCCCAGGCCCGATCCAAGGAAGCCGCGCGGAGCGCCACAAGCTTCTGGTTACGCCGCCCGTTGTTCTTCGACTCCTGCATGTACTCCGTCTTCGGGCCCAGCTCGTCGCACATGGCCTGGCTCGTCTTCTGCTTGTAGGCCTTCCCCCCGTACCCGGTCTCCTTGTTGAAGATGCGCACGGTGGGCCAGCCCCCGGCGCCCGGGCTCTGGTCCGTCCCGTGGATCGTCCGGACCTGGTTCTTAGAGAGACACACGTCCCCGAAGGCGACATCAGGATTGCCCTTGAACTTGGCAGCGACTTCATTCCAAGCCGGGGCCTGCTTGACTCATCAGCCTCAGGGGAGACCACACAGCAAGAGACAGCTGACCAGGGTGTACTAACCGGATGCCAGGTTACTTTTCGTGTAGACGGATACGATTTTCTGACGTGCTGACAGGATGTCAGGTGCCGGTAAGCCTAACATTAAGTCGGGCGTGTCCCCCTACGGGGGGATTTTGGGCGAAGAAACAAGTCAATACTCCAAACATACCCCCAAACATACTAGAAAATAGTTTAAAAAAATCGTCCCCAAACGACTATTTGACTATTTTTGAATATTCCCCCTGTATAGGGACAGGCCCGACTTCAGCCTAACACTTGGTTAACGCGTCCTGGTGAATTACTCCTACACCAAGCGCCACCGCTAACGCAACTCCCCATACCTCGGGAGCGGCCAAGAGGGGGGTGTCCAAGAGGGGGGGGTGCAAATCATGACCGGCGGCATGTGCGCGACCCAGCGGGGGGGCCAGGGACGTAATGAAATAAGAAGAGGCGCCGACAAAAACTGAGGAAATCTCATGGCCCCCGCCGTGAGATCCACTCCCCCCCTGAGTCATCACCCCCCTCTTTGCCGCCCCCGAATGCCCCTCCCAGGGTGCGCCTTGACCCAGACTTCGAGGCGAACCCAGCCGTGGCGACGCGGTCCTCCCGGGAGGACCAAGACGCAGGACGCGAGAGAACAGCAGCGGCATCGGCACCTCTCCCTCTACTTAGGCTCAAGTCGGGCCTGTCCCCCTGCAGGGGGATTTTGGACGGCACATAAAAGATACTCAGAGCATGCTCAAAGGATGCCCAAAAAATACTCGAAACATAGTCCCCCGACTATTTTTTTTGACTGTTTTTGAACGCTGCCCCTGTAGAGGGCCAGGCCCGACTTCATCTCAGGCCTGACCCTCCGAGCCACTCCAACGGAGGAGCGCCGACACTCCTCCTCTTCCGCACAGGGTGGGCGGCACCGACGCCGAAATAAAATCGTCGGGGCGGAGGGGGCGGCGCGCTGGGCTGGGCTGCTGGGGAGAAGGGGAGGGGGGGGGGGGGGGCGACGACGACGCCGAAATAAAGTGGTCGGGGCGAAGGGGGCGGCGCGCTGGGCTGCTGGGGAGAGGGGGGTGGGGGGGGGCGACGACGACGCCGAAATAAAGTGGTCGGGGCGGCGCCGACCGTGAGGCGCTCGCGACAGCAGCTGCGTCGGCACCCTTTCTCCTCCCGTGAGCC